CATCTCTTATACTAGAACCAATGACTTTTGATAGGCTGGGAAACATTAAAAAGTCAAACAACCTCAAATACAGAAAAGCAGAAGAACTTAGGCTTCAGACAGTTGCAGAAAAAACCAAGAAGTTCTTCTTCAAACAATAATATGTATTTAACTGTTATTAAATATTGTGTTTAATTCTTTCATTTTCATTTGCAGTTGACGCAACCATGGATAATTCCAATGGTATGTTCATCATGATATTACAGTTGACACTTAAGTCAAACCCCATGTGACACATACCCTCTTAATAATAACATTTATTATATGGAGAAGAGTGTTTTACTGGGAACTAAACCACTCGTAGATTCCATACGCCACTTCNCTTTCTGTTGAATTATTTTCAGTTACTGTACTGATCCGATCGAATTCGTTGATAGATAGGGTTTTTGAACAAGAACAGTCAACAATCATCTATATTTTGTTTTGCCATCCTACTCATCTCTCACTTAACTTGATTTCTTGTTGAAGATTTTGATTGCCTTCTATTAGTTTTATCGATCAGAACTGTAGTAATATTTTGACCATGTAAACATGAGCGTAAAACTAGAGATTTACCATCTCTTTTTACTAGAACCAATGACTTTTGATGGCTGGGAAACACTAAAAAGTCAAACAACCTTAAATACAGAAAAGCAGAAGAACTTAGGCTTCAGAAAATTGCAGGAAAAAAAAACAAGAAATTCTCCTTTAAACAATAATATGTATTTAACTGTTATTAAATATTGTATTTAATTTTTTCATTTTCATTTGCAGTTGACACAACCATGGATAATTCCAATGGTATGTTAACCATGATATTACAGTTGACACTAAAGTCAAACCCCATGTGACACATACCCTCTTAATAATAACATATATTAAGCATCCTTTTGGTTCCCAGCTACCACAGTTTGGTATTTTGTGTCCATAATGATTTATTAGACAGAGGTTCCATTCCGAAACGATAACACTTATCAGTAAAGTCTAAATATTCTTAAAACATATGTATTTAACTGTTATAAAATAGTGTTTAATTCTTTCATTTTCATTTGCAGTTGACGCAACCATGGATAATTCCAATGGTATGTTAACCATGCTATTAGAGTTGATTTTAAATTCAATCCCATGTTACACATACCCTCTTAATAATAACAACATATATTAAGCATCCTTTTGGTTCCCAGCTAGCTCAGTTTCATATTTTGTGTCTATAATCATTTAGTACACAGAGGTTCTCTTCCAAAATGATAACACGGATCAGTGAAGTCTTAACATTCTTTAAACATCAGTTT